AAAATTAGGGTTATCATACATCCTGGTTTTCCCAGACATGTCCTCTTTCTGGGTCTTCCTATCTCCGCTCGTGTATCTCTTTTTAAATATCAACAAATCTCTGGGATTTTGGTCTGCTCAGCATCAAAATTTTTCCCGGCATTTCCCAGCTTGCCCTAGCAAGGAGCTGCTTGGGATGGGGTGAGCAGGGGAAGGCTATGGGTCAGGAGTGAGGGGTATCAGCAGAGATGGGGGGCTGTGGGTTGAGAGTGAGAGGTACCAGCATGGTCTGGGGGTGGGGTACCGTGGGTTGAGAATGAGAGGCAGGGGCAGGGCAATGGCATATCACTTCCTCCCCACAATTATTTTACCCCCTCCCCAACAGGTGTCCTTTTTTTTAAACTGGAAATATGGTAGCCTTAACTGGTGTAGCCAACTCTACCTCATACCCTCAACATAAGAGAGAAAGACTGAGTGGGAGGAGAAGGCCATGTCATGAATGTGAGGGGAAGAATGGAGTGATGTTGCTCCTCTATTTTGTTGAGGCAGCCATAGACAACATAACCAAGGGAGATGTAATTTACATCAAAGGCTATTTCAGCTACCAGCAGGTTTAGGATTGGAAGAGTAGAAAGGTTTTACCCAGAAAGAATGAATAGAAAGATCGTGTCATAAACAACAATCTGTAACATCATGTAATAAAACAGGAAAGACTAGAGAATCCCAAATGTCTAGTGTTAAAAAAAGGGAATAAAATAAGCAGAAAACTGCTTATTTGCTTCTTAGAAAACAAAACCACTTGTTAGGCCATCTTCATACAGCTTCATAAAGCAAAAAGAACAACACAAACAAAAGACCTAAAAAACAAGTGTGCTCTCTGCTCTTCATATCACTGTACTCATCAAATCAAAAGGTATCTGTAGTCTTAGCATTTGCCCTCAATTATCAAATGTATTTTCATTAACAATACTAAGAAAATGAGTTTTTGTTATCTTAACTATTCCTATCTAGAAGTAGTTGACAAAATATACATATACATGGGAAAGTAAATTACTGTAACTTGGTTCTGAATTTGTTCAGCTACTCTGAATTGATTCAGTCTTTGCAGGCTAATCTAACCTGCCTAGATTGAATCAGTTTGCAACTGCACAGACAGTCTCTCTGGACTGAAGAAATGCAGGCACATGCCTGCAGTGGCTTAGGTAAGAAGCCAGAGAGCAGTAGAGCAGCCCTCCCTCCCCTTCTACAGTGCTGAGCTGGGGTGGGTGGTGGCCAGGCCTCAGCAGGATGCTCTGATTAGGGAGGGGTTTAACCCCCCAACCTGGCCTGCACAGTCCCAGTCAAGGAGCAGGAGTGTTGCCAGCCCCCAGAGAACACTCTGAGGCAAAGTGAGGGTGTGCAGTGCATACATCTGAAGATGCTGAGCTTTTCAATCTTCCTCTCCCTGTTTCTTCATACTTGCAAACAGTGAGCAGTGGGGGTGGAGGGGGACAGGGGGAAGCAAGGCAGACCGTGCTGTGCCTGCAGTCTCTACCAGAGCTCTGGCTAGGGAGCAAAGGGGCAGAGCCAGCCCTGTTCTCTAAAGCAGAGAGCACAGCCCAGCCAGCCCAGGGCTGCAAAGCATCTGGGATGCTGGGGGACTCTGGTTTAACTTAAACCGGCAAGGGGCATGGGACAGACATTGCATAAATCAGTTTGACCCAAATCAGTTAAGTCTGATAGTGCATTCAACCAGGTTTAACTTAAACCAGTTCTAGCCATTTTGAAACTGGTTTATGTGCACCGAACTTATGTTCTGTTATAGGTTTAAACCAGTTTCTGATCACTTCAACCAGTTTATGTGTAATGTCTGTCCCTTGCCTGTGTTATTATAAAGAGCATAATTCTCCATCAGATTCTGCACCATACATACCTATTTCTCTTCAAACAATGCATCTGTTGCTGCTCCATGTTTCATTGCTTTAACAATGTGTATCTACTAATGCAGTTGTTTGCATTGTGAAAGGATTGTATTTGTATGCCCTTGACTCTAGGATCACAGATCTTTCATATATTTCTAGTCACAGCTTCATTAAAAGAGGAGATTGTCTTAAGTTTTGCTTTATGGCTGAATAATATATTTTTTAATAAAAATGTAATTCCAGTAGGAAAAGGTGTATTATGTTTAATAACTGCAGTGAAAATGATGCAGCTCACTACACTGGAATACAATGGATTTGATGGACCTGATCAGAGGAGATATTTTTACAATAACTACAATGCATGGAATGCCAGGGAATGCTGTGCTCATGGATTATTGTACCATTAAGCAGATGAACAGAATTTGGATGTCGCAAGAAATTCTCTATGCCTGATCAATTAGTAAGAGGATCAACCTGCATATTTAGTCTTAGTAACTCTGGAATCTGGTGCTTAGAACTGCATATAGAACATGATGTTTATCATTCAACTGAGCATTTTTCTTTTCGTTTCTGGTATTCTTGCTCATTTGCCTGTACTTTTGCTAAGGTATATTTATGACTATGAATAATTTTTTACTGTTCTTACACATTTTAGGAAAATATAGGCAGCCCACACAGTCTCCTAGTTTTCTGTTCTACCTTTTGTACCCTAGCTATTTTGCAATATGCTATTTGCTTTGAACTTGATAATTTTATCATTCATTGTAAAGAAAAAAAACCCTTTGCCTCCTGGAAGCTTGTGATTTAGTTTTAAGTCAGATGCAGAAGTTATGAAAGGTGAAACTAGGGGTTCTAAAAGGTCATGCTAACAGTGAACAATAAGGATTAAGATGGGGAAAAGACAGGAAAATGATTAATAGCAAATTATAGAATAAAGTAAAAAAATCTGCTTTAAAATGATTTAAAATGTTGTAATGCAGGTGTTGGTGGCCTTTGAGAAAAACAGTAACAAATAATAAGTTGAGAGGTTCATTAGTTTATTTAAACCAAGAAGCTTTGTATCAAATAGGTGAAAATAGTTCCTGCCAAAAAAACCTTAGTATATCCGGACAGATATATGTCAGGTACAGTACAAGTGCAAATATAATGGCAAGAGTAGATTGCCAGTAGGGGTGTGCAAAGTAGGCCCTATTCGATTCGGATTTGGATTCGGCCTGAATCAGGGACAATGATTCAGTTTGTTGATTCGGATAGCTGTCCTGATTCAATTTGGCCAAATCTGAATCTGAAGATTCAATGCTGATTTGGAGAATCAGCAATTTAGGCATAGACACAGCTTTAAAAGTTGTTTCTACATATCTTGAGGTACCAGGTGTGGCTTGTGATCACTGCAATGCTGGGGTGTATGGAGCATCCCACAGGACTGCATGGGGTCCCTCCACATGTTCGGCAGCGAACCCAGAAGTGAACCAGAAGTACTTCCAGTCCGCTTCCAGCTCTGCAGGGGAGTGTGCAGGGGGGCCCCTCAGTGCCCCCCTCGACTCGGCAGTCAGCCACAGGGGGACCCTGGGCATCTCCCCCAGACCCAGGAGGCACCAGTCACTGGGTCAAGGGGACATGGTGGGGGGCCTTTTGCGCGCTCCCCGGTGGACCCAGAAGTGCTTCTGGTCCACTTCCAGGTCTGCTGCTGAGCACGCTGGGGAGCCCCCTGCGCTTCTGTGGGATGCTCCATGTGCCCCAGCATCGTAGCACTCATGAACCCCTGCTACCTAGAGGTTTGTAGAAAAAAACATTTAAAGCTGTGTCTATGTCTAAATCTCTGAATGTTTCCGAATCGCTCCAAATCGATAAGGAGGGTTTTGACAGTACTAATGTGTTGTTAATTTACAACAACAATCAGGTGGAAGATACTATTTTCCTATTTTATCTAATCTGCTCTTTGAGACCTTGGACCCACCATGTAGTTACCTCCTGTGGGAAATACCTTCTTCATTGGGCAGTCCTGTTAGTTCAAATGGAATTAATTGAAGTAAGGGGTATGAGCAGAGGATGTTGGAATCTGACCCCAAGCAAGTATCTAAGTCTTCAACTACTGAACTTATTGAAACAACTGACGTTTGTTCCAAATGAACTTGTTTGCTCCTTAATTAAATCATTGCTTGATAAAAACATTATCAAACATAATTTTGTGTTTCTTTAAAAAGTTCAGAAATGTATCTTTTTATAGTATAGCAGAAGAGGGGAAAGGGACCTATTGGTGGGAGTCTACTATAGACCCCCTACCCAAGCAGAGGAACTTGACCAGGAATTCTTGGGTCAGCTCACTGAGGTAGTAAAAGCTAGGGATGTGGTAGTCATGGGGGACCTGAATTTCCCAGACATCTGCTGGGATGAGCAGTCGGCCAGGTCCAAGCACGCACGCAGGTTCTTGGAGAGAGTCCAGGACCTTCATCTAACCCAGGAGGTGCACAGCCCCACCAGGGGGGATGCCTTGTTGGACTTGGTGTTGGCCACGGGCGACGACCTGGTGAGGGGGCTGCGGGTGCTTGACCCCCTGGGCGACAGTGACCACTGCCTGCTAGAATTCACCATTCAGCGCAAGGT